TGGGTCTAGTTTCAGTTACTGTGTTGCAGAGGAATCGCTTAATTTCCCCCAACAAATTCACACATTTAATGATCAGAATCCAACATTTTCTCTTTGACTTGACTTAAAAGTTAAGAACACTCACTATTACCTTCACTGGAAGTGGAAGATGGCATAACATATAATTCAGTCTGTTACTGGTGGTAGAAACGGTACCATTCTAAGAAAGGGTTTACACAACATGCTGCTTTGTGAGGGCTTTGCATTTCTGGAACTGCATTCCCTTCTGTGTGCCATCCACATATATTTCATATATATTATGTATCTTTTCTACATACACATATGTATAAAACTTGACAAATCATGGTTTTTTGGCCCTTTGTCTTTGAAACATGACAAAGTCCCTGTGTAGTCCCCTCCAGAGCGAGATAACTTAGGAAGACCTTTACACGGAGAAGTAATTTGCATGTACAATGTAGAAAGATGTTTTTTAGGTAAGATAAAGCTTCAGACTTTGACTTACGCCCCAAAGTAACAGTAGTTTAATGTTGGTAGTATGGCAAATTAGGATGAATAGCTTTAATGTATGTTTAAAAGTCTCATCACATGTTCACATACTTAAATGTGGATATCAGAATTTAAACAATGCTTCAAATGTATGAATGTCTTCTTAATATAATGATTATAAGGCAAAAAGAAAAAAATTAAAATATTCAAAGCTGGCCAGGCATGGTGGCTCATGCCTGTAATCCTAGCACTCTGGGAGGCTGAGACAGGCAGATTACCTGAGCTCAGGAATTTGAGACAACCCTGAGCCAGAAGAAAGCAAGACCTTGTCTCTAAAAATAGCTGGGTGTTGGCTCGGCGCCTGTGACTCAAGTGGCTAAGGCGCCAGCCACATACACCTAAGGTGGTGGGTTCGAATCCAGCCTGGACCCGCCAAACAACAATGATGGCTGCAACCAAAAAATAGTCGGGCGTTGTGGCGGGCGCCTGTGGTCCCAGCTACTTGGGAGGCGGAGGCAGGAGACTCGCTTGAGCCTAGGAGTTGGAGGTTGCTGTGAGCTGTGAAACCACAGCACTCTACCCAGGGGGATAGCTTGAGGCTCTGTCTCAAAAAAAGAAAAAATAGCTGGGTGCTGTGGTGGGCACCTGTAGTCCTAGCTACTCAGGAGGCTGAGGCAAGAGAATTGCCTAAGCCCAGGAGCTAGAGATCGCTGTAAGCTGTGAGGCCACAGCACTCTACCGAGGGCAAAAAAGTGAGACTCTGTCTCTAAAAATAAACAAATAAATAAATAAATAAGTGAAAGGGATTTGGAATTATGATATTAAAGCAGCAGCCTGGTAAGCTATCTGCCTCACTTAACTGAACCTCAGCTTAAAATAAACATCAAAAAGATAAATACATATAAGGATTTATTGCATTTGGGAATGAGATAAAAAATTTAAAGCACCTAGAATTATTCCTTTCTACCTTTTGTTTTTTAGCTTATATGTACATTTAGTCTTATATTAACATACGTGTGCACATGTGTAGTTATATAATTTTAAAGTCATAGTACCTTTTATCAATTTGTCCAAAAGAAAAAAAAAATTTTTTTTGAGACAGAGTCTCACTCTGTTGCCCTGAGTAGAGGGCCATGGTGTCATAGCTCACAGAAACCTCAAACTCTTGGGCTCAAGTGATCCTTTTGCCTCAGCCTCCTGAGTAGCTGGGACTACAGGTGCACACCACAACGCCTGCCTCAGTTATTCTGTTTTTTTGTAGAAATGGGGTCTCACTTTGGCTGAGGCTGGTCTTGAACTCCTGAGCTCAAACAATACATCCATCTCAGCCTCCCAGAGTGCTAGGATTACACGGATGGGCCACTGCACCTGGTGGTCCAAAATTTTTTAAAATTCAGATGTTACCCTGGACCCCTATTGCTCTTTCACCTGTTGTACGCATGAAGAGCTTGTGTGCTTGACTCTCGTATCCGCGCGAGGCATGGAGAGCAATCCAGTCTGGATTTATAAATCTTGCTCTGCAAATCAAACATACATACATGCACATTATTCCTCATCACTTTTAGCAAGGAGGACATTTGAGAACGTATCAATTTATTTTGAGAATTGGCCATTGCTCTTATAAAGCAATAATGTCAATGCTTCACTTTTACTCTTTTTATTTAATCACGTGGAACTGACTTAAGCTATAAAATAAGATCAGCCTTGCTCACCTTCCAACAAAACCATGTAACCTGTAACCACAAGCCCTACCTCCACAGTTCCACCAGTGCAGAAACAATTTGGTGTGTCACATTTCATCTGTTAAACACATACTTCATAAAAAACACTATGCTAGTATTGGCCAGAAGATGATGTTTTACAATTTATTATATAATCTTTTCAGTTATCATAACAAGTGGTTACAATAGATATTAATCATAAATCACTGTATAAAACTAAACACAATTGTAAAAGATAAATTAAATTTTCAATCATATTTTATTATCCCGAACACTGTAAAATATAACTGATTGTTAGGATATTTGGGAGCTTATTTTTACAAAGTATGAAACACACTCCTATGCTACATAATGATGTTTCAGTCAACCTTGGGCTACACTGACTACTGTAATCCCACAAGACTATCAGGCTGTATTCTGACTGTAACTTTTCTTTATTTACATATGTTCAAATACACAAATACTTGCCGTTGTGTTCCAGCTGCCTACAGTACTCAGCAGTGTCATGCTGTACAGGCCTGCAGCCTGGGAGAAACAGGCTGCACCATACAGCTTAGATGAGTGCCAGGCGACACCACACAGGTCTGCCTACATA